GGGGGGGGGGGGGGGGGGGGGGGGGGGGGGGGGGGGGGGGGGGGGGGGGGGGGGGGGGGGGGGGGGGGGGGGGGGGGGGGGGGGGGGGGGGGGGGTCAGTGCTGGCGAGGAGAGAGGAGAAGGGGGGTAGAGGAGCAGTGCTGACAAGGGCTGACCCCTCCTCCCAGTGGCGACGAACCCGCCGCGCTCTTTTAAATAATGGTTCTTTTATCATCCCCCGACTTGCAGCCCGAAGGCGTACGGGCATGACATGGGAGGCGCTCACAGTAGTTCCAGTGCGCCACAATGTCGGGCTGGCCGGCTGCACGCGTGTACACTCCGTCCATCCGTGTGGTGCGGTGCAGGAAGCCCGCGAGGAGCGCGCTGTCTACCAGCGCCTCCTGTGCCATCCCGTCGAACGCGCCGCGCAGACGCACCACGCCACTCGGGAAGAAGTCGAGCTCAAGGTTGTCCGCGGGGACGGAGAGAACGGAGCTTGAAGCTTGGCCCGCGTGCGGGCTCTCGGGCGGCGAAGCAGCGGGCGGCACGGCAGCAGGCGGCGCGGTGGCGGGCGGTGCGGTGGCGGGCGGCGCGGCAGCGGGCAGCGCGGCAGCAGGCCACGCGGCAACGGACTGCGCGGCAGCGGGCCGCTTGGCAGCGGACCGTTTGGCAGCAGGCTGTGCGCGCTTGCGCGCGAGGCTCGGCACGTAGAGGCGGCCGGCCTGCTGCTCGAGCTCTGCTGCCCACGCGGCCGGCGCCCACAGGCTCGTGTGAAGGTCGTGAAACTGCCGGCGAGCAAAGCGGGAAGGGGGGCGGGGGCGCGGGTAAGCTTGGATCCGAGCGCGGCGAGGTGGCCGGCGGGAGGACGCAGCGGGAGGGCGCAGCACGCATACGCTCGAGTCCCCGTCGTCGTAGTTGATGAGCCAGAGCCGCCGAGCGCTGTCGTGGCTCGCGATCTCGCCGGCAAAGCACGCGCCTTCCCTCGGCCAGTAGACGCTCACCCGGGCGCCAACGCGCACCGCGGCCACGGCGTCCTCACCCTCACCCTCGCGCCGCCACACGTCGGCCACGAAGTGCACCTCGCGTTGATTACCGCTGAATCCCACGGCCATGCATGCCCGCTGCTCGTCCACCGCCTGCACGGCGCCGACGCGAAATGTGTCGTCCTTCGCGACGTAGAGCTCCACGCGCGCGCCCAGCTCGACCGCCATCTTCGGCGCGAGTGAGCTTCCCGAGAGCGAGCTTCGGGGCGAGTGAGCTTCGCGAGCTGAGTGACCTGAGCAGTGACCTGAGCCCCCGCCCGGGCGCGAGTTTGACCTGCATTTAATCCTGTTTTTAATTTATAATTTATTCCGCCCACGTCTCTCAATGCCCACCCTGCGCGCGAGCGGCACGCCCCGCGCACGCTGAAGCGCCCGCTTACGCGGGGACCGATGAGCTGATGGTGCCATCTCCCGTGGCGGACACGACAACAGGTGTAACAGTGGCTCCTGCCGCTGCGGCGCTGCCGCACCCGCTGACGCGCCCGCTGCCGATGTTGCGCATTTGTCGCAGACACCACAAGTTTTGCCGCCGACGATACTGGGTCGGGTGCGAGCAGGCCCGCCATGATCTCGCCCTGCGCGATGAAGGTGGGCGAGTAGCTGACCGTCACATTCACAGAGTTGGCCAGCAGCACAGAGTAGCTAACCGCCCCACTAACTCCGCGGTAGGCTACCACCTCTGGTTCCTGAGCTGCACCGGAGGATTTTCACCCGACTTTCATCGAACTTTCCCCCGGGCTGGTCATAATTTGGATTTTGACCCCGAGGGGGTATTCTGATCACCCTCCTATAAACAGTAACTAGGAGTAGGCTATATTCAGGCTACGCAGCCGACTAAGGCACGCAGCAGGCAATGGGCGACGCAGCGCTCAGACCAGCACAAGCCACAACATTCAGAACAGTCTGACGCCAGCTTGTCCTTGAATCCCTATAATAAATATATTCAGGCTGCCGGAGTTTATTTGTCTGTTTTAATATGTGTGCAACAGGTTCGGCATGTTCGCAGGCGAGCTGCATTTCGGACTATATAGCAAATCTAGTCCACCTTTGTCAGACAGAACAAAGTATGCTAGAGGATGCGGCAGACTTGCAGAGTGCTAGCTCATGGCGCTGCCCGGCGTACGGCAGCGCGAGGCCAAGATACTCCACCCAAAGAGCAGCCGGGCCGCACATGAACTGAGGTTTGGGTACGGCTCGCTCTGCCTGCTGGCCTGCTCGTTGGCCACGCCGCGCGCCGTCGCAACCTTCTCACGTATCCGTGCGGACTCGAGCGCGTGATACTTTTTGTCGTCCATTGGCGCCAGCCCGTCGATGACGGAGATATCCGACTCGGCGATCGACTCCGTCAGCGATTCGCGCTCCGCCCTGCTCGACATCCGCGTCATGTCGGGCAGGTGCAGCGCGCCTGACATCATGAGCTCGCTCAATCTCTGCGCGGTGCGGGGAGCAAAGGCGGGCAGGGTGCTCAGCACGAGGTGGGCGGCGGGTGGGTGGGCGGTGCGCGCGCGCTCACGTCAGAGGGCCGAGCGACCTCCCCCACGCCGGACGCCTCTTCCATGCCGGGCGTCACGGCCTCCTCCGCACCAGGCGCCTCCTCCACGCCGACGCCACCGGGGGACCCCTCCATCTCTCGCTTGTGCGCTTTCCCCTAAGGAGGGTGAACCGCACCCGGTCGGGCGCACCTGGTCGAGGTTGGAGCAAAGGGAGGAGAGGCTGCGTCTGAAGCAGTGTCAGAGCCTCTGCAGAAGTTGTCGACGGCGGCGTCTGCCGGCGAAGATGTCGACGGGGGGAGACGGCGTCCTAGTTCAAGTTGGTGCTCATTTTTAAAGTGCATTGTAAGCTGGCGTCGTTATCGGTGAACGCACCAGTTGCGTTGCCTCGCCTCGGCCTCCATCCGCGCGAGCGCAGCGTGTAGGTGAACGCGTAGCTAGGACGGCTTTAGTGCGAAAACGTGGTGGCAGGGAATACTCCGATCAAGCATCATGTGGGCAAGAGGAGGCGACCCAGAGGAAGCGAGGGGGGCAGGGGAAGAGATGGGGAAGGGAGAGCGGCGGGGGGTGGAGTGGGGCAGGGGAGGAGTAAAGGGGGTCCACAGGGCAGGGAGGGGCGCAAAAGGTGCTATCGCTTGAGGAGTGATACCGGGCAGGGGAGGAGTAAAGGGGGCCGTGCTATCGCTTGAAGAGTGATACCGGGTAGGGGAGGAGTAAAGGGGGCCGTGCTATCGCTTGAGGAGTGATACCGGGCAGGGGAGGAGTAAAGGGGGTCGGGAAGGGGAGGAGTAATGGGGGTCCACAGGGAGGAAGGGGCGCAAAAGATGCTATCGCTTGAGGAGTGATACCCAGTACCAGGCTTGAACTGGTGACCCTCAGATTATTGGTCTGATGCTCTGACCAACTGAGCTAACCGGGCGATTACTTAAATGCATATGGTCCGGTACATGAATTTAATTTAATGTGCAGTTCGAATGCTCCAAAAAACGCAATGGGATCGGGGTAGCTTATCAAGAGACCTATTCTTATCACGAGGGGGCGTGCGGTGCCTCACTTCCCGAAGATTAATCCAGTCAGCCAGAGTGTTAATACATCTGCTGCCCTCACACTAATTTCCAGGACCCTGTCCAAGTAGTCACTAGAGAAGGATGCAGCAAGCCCGTGTTCCCCTCAACTCAGTTCATCAGCAGCAAGCGCCGAGAAGATAATATCGGCATTTCAGACGCGGCCGAGGACAGTCAGATTAATTGGTCAGATGACCCGTTTTAGGGCTCCTGTCAGAGCGGCTGGCACTGTCTGCAAGAGTGAAGGTTGGAGTCAAGCGCGACACGCCCTGCGCTACATGCAGCCATTCAAAGGGCAGATGAAAAAGATGCTATCGCTTGAGGAGTGTTAGGACAGTCAGATTAATTGGTCAGATGACCCGTTTTAGGGCTCCTGTCAGAGCGGCTGGCACTGTCAGCAAGAGTGAGGGTTGGAGTCAAGCGCGACACGCCCTGCGCTACATGCATACCAGCCATTCAAAGGGCAGATGAAAAAGATGCAATCGCTTGAGTGTTAAAGCGCGACTGTGCTACATGCATACCGGGCAGATATTTAAAAGATGCCATCGCTTGAGGAGTTGTACCCAGTACCAGGCTTGAACTGGTGACCCTCAGATTATTGGTCTGATGCTCTAACCAACTGAGCTAACCGGGCGATCAGATTCCTATGCAGCTTAAATCAAGCTATTTGATCCGCATAACCCGAACTTCAACCAATTTGCTTCAACTTCGTCATGAACGTCCGTCCGCGGAGGGAGAGGCTCGGGCGCGAGGAGAGGCGCGGGGAGAGGAGGCGGGAGAGGCACGGAGAGAGGCGCATGCCGTCGCCACTCATGGGAGCGCTGCTGCTCTGCGCGGCCCCGCTCGCCGCGCCCGAGGGCAGCGGGCTGGCGGTCGTCGACCGCGCTGCGCCGCAACCGCTCGACGAGGGCAGCGAGTACATTCTCATCGAGCGCCTCCAATCCCCGTCCATGACGGCGCTCACTGCGTGGGCGCCACGCCTCGCGCCCGAGCACGCGCTGATGCTGGTGAGGAGGGTGATGCCCACGCCGTTGCCGCTGACCGTGCCGTCCGATGCGCGCGCGTGGATGGCGCACGTGCTTGGCTGGAGCTCGCACATGCTCGGCCACCCCGCGCTGAGCGCCGCTGACGCAGAGGTCCTGCGCTGTCGCCCTTTCTACCACCTGATCGGAGGCATGCTCGCGCGCGGCGGGCACGGTGAGGTGTGGCGGGCAAGCCGTAGCAAGCCGCGGCACGACGCGTTTTCGTTCATCCTCAAGATGGTGAGCCGCGAGCGCGACGTGCACTACCGCTCGGGCCTGCGGGAGGTCTACTTTGGTGTGAAGCTCCGAGGCATGGTCCACGTCGGCAGGTTCGTGGAGGTGTTCGCGGCGACGGAGCGACCCGACGAGGGACAGACAATCTCTGTCGATGCGAACAAGGCCTCGCTCAAGAGACAGGCCGAGAGCGGCCGCGCTCGGCTGCAAAACCTGTGGCTCTCGTTCTACGACGAAGGCGCCTCGCTCCACGACTTGATGCACGAGTACGCAGGGGCGGAGGAGGATACGGAGGGTGGAGGTGGCAGTGGCGCGAGCGACCCGATGACCGCCTGTGCGCGGACGAGTGGCGGTGGTGGTGGCGGTGCAGCTGCTGCTGATGACGGCGGTGGTCTCGGCGGCGGCGGCGGCGGCGGGGAGCTTGTCGCTGCCGAGGCTGGCGGGCGTGGTGGTGCCGGCGGCGGCAAAAGTGGCAGCACAGGCAGCGGCAGTGGCAGCGGGGGCGGGGGCGGTGCCAGCGGAGGCGACGGCGGCGCGGGCGGCGGGGGCGGCATGGGCGGCGGCGGGTTGCAGATGCTCGTGCCTTCGGCGCTCTGGCACCGCATGCGGCGATTGGAGGAGGGGCAGCTCGTGCTGCGCGAGATCGTGCGCCAGCTGCTCGTCGCCGTCGCCGAGCTGCACGAGCGCGGCGTGGTGCACCGCGACCTGAAGCCGAGCAACCTCATCGTCCGACTCGAGCACCAGCAGCACAGCACAGACAGCGACGGCCTTAGCGCGCTGCCGGGCCTTACCCTCCGTCTGATCGACTTTGGCTCGAGCTTCGACGCCGAGTCGCTGGCTGACCCGGAGCTGTACCCACCGGGCGAGGACCCCGCTGCCAGTGAGACGGTAGGGTTATTGTTACTCGCGTGATGATGATGATTAGATTACTGCGGTATTCTTCTTCTTCTTCTTCTATTTATATTATTACCAGCACGATGACTATTGCTGTTCTTAATGCTTCTACTTCCACTTCTACTACTGTACCACTACTACTAATACTGCTACCACAACTGGTATGATGAGCAGGCCGCGTACGCCCCGCCCGAGGTGGCGCTGCAGGAGGGCGCATCCATGGGCGCGCGCACGCAGGCCTACGACCTGTGGTCGTGCGGCGTGGTGCTGCTCGAGCTGCTCCTCGGCTCGGCGGACGTCTTCAACGCCGACGCGCGCACGCACGCGATCATCGCGCTCGCGCTCGGCGACGCCTCCGCCGCGGTGCAGCGGCGGGCCGCGCTGGCGCACGCCTGGGAGCGGCTCGGCATCCTCACGCCCGCCTCCCGGCGCGGGGCGACCGCCGCCGAGCGCGAGGCGGCGCGCGCGAGCTTTGTCGCCGCGGTGCGGAAGCGCGACCCGCTGCCGGCGTTCGCCATCCCCGAGCGCGCCCTCGACCTGGCGTGGAACCTGCTGCAGTGGGAGCCCTTGCGGCGGATCCGCGCGCGGGACGCGCTCGGCCACCCGTTCTTTAGCGCGCCCGCGTCCGGCTCACAAATGGGCCTCGTCGCCCGGTGACGCCTGCGCCCGGCCTCGAGTAAATTGGGGCGTCGCAGCGCACAGACCTGCAGTACTTTCCGAACTGTCAGAAGCCAGCCTATAATGCCCTAGCACGGCAAATAAGAAGTATAAGCAATTTGAAACTTGTGCGTACACCTTACTGCCTTATACAACTTTCTGATTATATTCCTTCATCTGTAATTTACTAAGATCTCCGAAAGAATCCACCTCGTCTTTCGCCTCGGGCGAACAAGGCGGGCGAGACGGACGCAGCAGTGTCACGCACCCAGGCCGGGACATCGTTCCCGGCTCAGTGCAGCAGTCTGCGCTAACTAGTGAGAAAATGACTTCGCCCCCTCTGGCCCCAACGACTTGGGGCCACGAAGTATGTCTTGCCCGGCGGTAAACAGATCAACATGTGCTCCGCAGAGTTCCGCGAATGCTACGTGCGCTATATCGCCGGCAAAAGCTCTGCATGTGCCCCCTTCGAAGGACAGCAGCTGAACGTCTCTCTGCGCGGAGGCCCCCTCGACGCATACGGCGACATTGCCGTCGCCGCAGCGTGGACAGGCAACCAGGAGTCGATCTTCCGCCATGACCCGATCGTGCAAACGATTGCCAGCGCGATCAAGGACGTTGGCGGCTACGCAGTCGCAGAGGACTCAGCCTTCTTCTCATCCGTTCTCCCGCCAGCCGCCATCGCAGCCGCACAGGCGCAGGCAGCGCTGACCTGCCAGACGCACAGACTCCGCGTCATCACGCCGGACGTCGTCGTGCGCGTCGACCCAGCGAGGAGCCGGCTGCCGCTAATAGAGGTTAAGACTATCGCATTCTGCCCAAGCTATTACACTGACAATAATGCTGCCCTCCCCCCCGGCGTCGCGCGCCGGG